GGTAGCTGATTTGGATTCGTAGAGAAGACAGAGCTTTCAAGGCTGGCCAAGAGCATGACATGGCCATGTCTGAGTAGTAATGGAGGATCTTTGTGGGAGAGGTGAGGAGAAGGCCAGGCTGGAGACGATGGTAAACACGTTGATGAGAGCACTCTGTATTTAGGTAAAGTTTGGACTTTATCTTTTAGGTCCTTCACTGAGAAAGTGAGGGAGCTACGGAAGATACTTGGTATGGAGGGGGTATGTGCTAGGCTTCCTTCTGTAATGCAGATGTACATTCAAATGGACATGACACATTTCAAGATTTCTGACTCGTGTTGCTCTTTTGATCATAGAGTTTTCCTTCTCTACTGTCAACCTCCCATTGTTGGCTATAATTAAAATAAAAATCATTAGAAGAGGATTTGGGTGTTATTTTAAATATTTCGTTCTTTATTGCATCACTTCAAGGGTAGAAGGTGAGAAAGGAGACTTAAAAATCCCACCTGAGTTATTACACAAGTTTAGATAGTAGAGAAATTACACACTTCGTCAAAGATAGAGATTATTCATAGTGAAAGAGGATGTAGTGTAGGAGGGCGGGGAAGAGCACAGACTGTAGCCCCAGATTGAGCAAGTCTAGTTCTAGCTTTGCCACTTTCTAGTTCTATCTATGTTCTTGGGCCAGTCATTCTCTAAACCTTATTCCCCTTTTGGAAAATTGGGCTAACATTAGTGTCTGCTTTATCTACTTTCCATGATTGTGTGGGGATAAATGAGATTGCATGTAATGAGTATAGTAGATTGTTTTGTGATGGAGTAGTTCTTAATAAATGTGGCTTAGGATGACGATGTCGTCAGGTGTCTAGCACTGGCCTTGCCGTAGATCAAGTGCTCAAGATTTAATCCTCATGCCTTCTGTGCCATCCAAGTTCCACGTCGGAGAAAGTATTTTCTGTCATACTTGGTTTTCTCTCATGCTTTGTACCAAACGTACAGTAACAACAGTACATGTGTGCTGGGCACCTGCTGTGTGCCAAGCTGTGTGTGGGCACTACCACTTACAGAGGTTTGTTTCCTCCTCAGGATAACCATGAAAAGTAAGTACAGTTATTCTCATTTTATAGCTAGGAAACAGCAGCTCAGAGAAGTCAAGTGAGTTGCTCAAGGTTACAGATTGTTAAGAAGTAAAGCTTGAATTTGAACTCAGTTCTTCAGATTCTAAATTTAGCTCCCTTACCACAGTTGCTTCCCTGTTACTATGTTTTCCCTTCATAGTATTTTATAAACCCTTGGATTAAGCCTGTAGTAATTTTAGTACAGCTGGTAACTGCTTGCTTAGTGCCGAGTCATTGTTGCCTTTCTCTGTCCTTAATAGGCCAAGAAACCTACTATGGCAGTCCTTGTGACCTCTCTGGCGCCTGCACGGCCTCTCCGCCTCAGGCAGAGCCCAGCTGGGGGAGGGAGGGCACAGGGCGGCACATTGGCTCCCAAGACATGGATTTACTGAGCACTCCAGAGACTCTTGTTCCCATCAGGTGTCATGTTGATTTGGGGATGTGTTTGCTGAGGAAACTAAGCATTTTTTTTTCTTCTTTTGTCTTCTAGCCCGGCTTTCGAAAACATCTGGGTCTGCTGGAGAAAAAGAAAGATTACAAACTTCGTGCAGAGTGAGTGCAATCTTCTCTTGTAGAGGTGCTGCCAGGAAAGCTTACAACCTCCCTGCATTGCAGCTGAATTCCCTGAATGTCCAACAGGGGATAATTTCCTGCCATTGATAAAATGGCCACAGCTCTGGCAGCCTGTCAGATACTCTTCTGGGACCCTGAACTTCTCTCTTTGTTTAGGCAGAGCGTTATTTGTTTAACTGTAGTTGCATTGTGAATTTTTTTTTATTATGTTGTTCCAGATCGTTTTCTCATAGTGGCTTTGATTTGCCTCTGCCTTGGTGTTTGAGCCAAAAGCTGAATCTTTTTTCTCTCCCTTTTCTTGAAGTTCAAGATAGAATCTAAAATTCCAGTGGTTGAGTCTCTTACATCACCATGTGTGATGTGGAATGAAGAGATATGAAAGATGGATTCATGAGACTGAGCGTGGGTGATAATGAACTCCAAAAAAATTTTATAAAACAATTATCCTCATTCTTCTTCTTCTTTAGCACTTTATTTGCAGAATATTTCACAATTGTTTGTTAGCCATGCATGTCAGCTGAGGTCCTTTTTTATACTCTTGGTGCAGATGATGATGGATTAAGTGGATTGCTCTGGGTCCCAGAGTTTCTAAGGCAAATAATAATAATGAGGTCTGTTATTGGGCCAGGCAGTGTTCTAAGACGGTTACCATTTTTACACTCGTTTATTCCTCCCAACAACCTTTGGGGATACCGTTATTATCACATCCATTTTACAGACTAAATTGGGATTCAGAGTGGTTAACTAACTTATCCAGAAGCACTCAGCCAGAAGTGGTAGAGTCAGGGTTGGAGCCCAGACAGTTTGGCTGCAGAGTCCATGGTTCTAGTCACTCTGCTCACCATGTAGTTTCTGAATCTTATTTGATCACTTGGTGCCCAAGCTTGCATCAGAACCGTGTCTGAAGAGTTTTAATTTCTGCTTTATTTGGTCTCTCCCTGTAATGATGTAAATGGTACTAAAACTTCCATGAGATGGGGACAGTTAATTTCGGGTGGGACTGGGGTAGGAGAGGACCCACAGAGAGAGGAGCTCAGCATCCGTGACAGTGGAGTGCAGATCAGATCTAGCCATTGCTTTGGCTTTTGTGAGTTTCATTTTGTATGTATCATTAGATGCTTGTAAAGTTTGCTTGTTGTGGTTTTGTGTTTTTGTTTTTTTTTCTTTTTTGTTATGAACCTGTTTCACCTGCTTTTTAGTGACTACCGGAAAAAGCAAGAATACCTCAGAGCTCTCCGGAAGAAAGCTCTTGAAAAGAATCCAGATGAATTCTACTATAAAATGACCCGGGTTAAACTCCAGGTGGGTGCCTAATGGAGCAGTTGGTGTTTTGAGCTCCAACTCAGTAGCAAAAATAAAGATGAGAGGGAATGGAGAGATTGGATCCTTGGCTGCTATTTAGCCCTTCTCCAGTTGGTCAGGTGCTCTTGGTCAGTATCCAAGGCAAAATTGCCCCTTGGTGAGCAGCATGCATTTCTGCCCCTGGAGCTGTTCTGAGAGGATAACTGGAGGTTCTGAATTAGATGTGTGCTCCTCGGAGGCCTGGTGCATTGGATGGCTGTTGTGTGTAGCTTTTGGTTGTCTTTGTTCCAACCATGAACTATGCCAATGACTTGTTAATGATTTTAATCTAATAGCAAATGTGTCTTTTAAATTTGGATTCTAGGATGGAGTTCATGTTATTAAGGAGACTAAGGAAGAAGTAACTCCAGAACAGCTGAAACTGATGAGAACTCAGGATGTCAAATACATAGAAATGAAAAGGCTTGCAGAAGCTAAGGTAACAACCAAAACTCTTTGTTCTGATATTTTTGTTGGTTAAGAAGAAAAATAGAAATCCATTGATCTCAAGTTACAAGTTGATTTATTCTGACATTTCCAATCTTGAAGTATTCTTAATTATAATAATAATTTAAAAGTATGGTCCCATACAAGTGGCTGATAGGCACATGAAATAATGCTCAATATCATTAATTATCAGAGAAATGCAAATCAAAACTGCAATGAGGTATCATCTGACCAGTCAGAATGGCGATATTAAAAAGTCCACAAACCATAAATGCTGGAGAGGGTGTGAAGAAGAGGGAACCCTCGTACACTGTGGGAATGTAGTTTGGTGCAGCCATTATGGAAAACAGTATAGTGATCTTTAAAGAACTAAAAATAGACTTACTGGATGATTGATCCAGCAATCCCACTCCTGGGCATACATCCGGAGGGAACTCTAATTAAAAAAGATACATACACCCCAATGTTCATAGCAACACTATTTACAACAGCCAAGAGATGGAAACAGCCTAAATGTCCATGAC